TGTGAGTTCCTGCTGCTGCTGTAAAGGGTGAATTTATTTCACACATTTGCTCAAAGGGTATAAACATGAGGCTCACTTGGTTTTTTTCTGCAAATCCCAGATGCAGTAATTATGACCCATTAATAATACAGGCCTAAAAGATATTAGACGACCCTTGTTATCCACAGTTTCCTGCTTTTGTGTTATTTTACCTGAAGAAATACATTAAACACAATGGAAACAAGTGGTTTCCATAAGTCTAAAAAAAAATAAGTATTTGGGTATGTATGCCCCCTAGTGGACATAAGGAAGACTGAAGACTTGCACATAAAACCTTAAATTGTGTCTATGATTGGGAAGGAAAAATTATTCATTTTTGCTTGTTTCTTTTTAAAAGGCATATGTTTTCTGACCTCTCTCTTGTAAAAGAAAAAAAAAGAGGCAATGGAAGCCCCTAAAGCCACTTGGAGATCTTATGGTGGTGATTATATTTGTGTTCTCAAGTAATCAAGTCATTTTATATCCTTTAGGAGCAGTTATCGGCTCCTGTAGGTTACACACTGCAGTATTAACCAAAGGCACAGAGATTCTCCTCATAGGTGCCTTATATCTCGCATATCTTCACAAACACTGCAGTATTTTTATTTTATTTTTTTGTACCAGCTCCTGCTCTCTGTACAAAGAAAATCACAAGAAAAGCCATAAGTGTTGAAAGCGTGTTTTAGGAAACGCATACTTTTGCAATGTTGCTTCATAGTTATCCTGACAGTTTGTCCCGGCCTGTAATCAACTGAGACAACATCTTTTTTGGGCTTTTGTTTTTGGTTGTGAATCACTTTCAGAAAAGAGAAACCCTCTCTGATCCACGTTCATTGTATTTGCTATCACATTATGGATGATCGCGGTTTGAAGAGAACGCCTTAATCCTGTCATTTCTGGAGGGTAATTCGCTTCTGTTATACTGTAAAGCTACCTTATGCCACCAGCTGTCCTTTGCCTTGCTTTGCTTTTAGCATGTTTCACTGCTTGTTTCTCTTTTGTTCATCATGTCAAAATATACAATGTCTCATTACTCTGGTCCAGCTTTGTTTATTTCATGGCTGCAATCACCGATCATCATTTCTGCTAGGATCTAAGTAGATTTTTTTAGAGAAAGCGATATTTTAACTATTTAATATTCTCACCTAAGACAACCATGCCTTTTCCATTATGGATCAGCAATTTGAATGTGATTTAGTGTCTTTCAGCCTCGCTTTGTGTCTAATGAAGCACAATGAGCTTTGCATTCATCCACAGCATTACTGACCATAAAAAAGCCATTCCTGAGTTTTGCACTGCATAGAAAGGAAACCATCATCAAAGAAGAATATATATATATATATATGTAGATTTAAGAAAAATCTATTTTTTAGAAAAGTATTATTATTATTATTGCCCATTACAACTGTACTGTGTGTTTATAAAGATTTTACTGCCTCCTCATGCAGAATAGTTGTGAAAGCTTTACGCTGCAGCTTCCAAAAGTCGGCCATGTTTGTTTATGTTGAAAAGTTTGTGTATTATTTCCTTTTCCCATGTTATGTCTTATTTTTTGATGTTTTCTGTAAAACAGAAAACATTGTGTGAAATAATTAAAGTATTATTTAACTAGGTTGTCGCTATGTCACTGGCATCAACATTTGACTCAAAGGGAGTATAACAGTCTAACATAGTAACGTCAAACACGTGCCGCTTTGTTTTAAAAAAAATATAAATATAAAAAATATAACCGCAGATGTCTGGGGGACAGTGATTCGCCTACATGTTATGAATGCTGGTTTACCATAAATGATCAATTATGAACAGTTCAGGTTGTGCCTTCAAGTCGTTGCCCATAGGAAGACGTTACTTGGATATAGACTAACGGAATATCTTCAGAACAGCTCCAAATGACACAAAACTCATATGGGTGAGTAGAACATGATGTAATAATGTAAAATCAAGGGCCAATGTAAAAAAAACAGTGTTCCCCTTTAATAAAGAGTCCCAGAAATTCTGATGCACTACATTAAAAATACAACATGTGAGTGAAATGTAAATGTTTTACAGCCAAGGAAAATGCCAAACATAAGTTTTTTAGTACAAAGGGTTCATGCAATTTATTATAAACTAATACTACCAAGAACAGTTTGTAGTCGCCCTCTTGTGGTGGAATTGAAAACAAAGCTGTGTGTTACTACTACAGTAAGACTGCCCAACCACTCTACATACATATTTGTGGCGTACATTTAAATAGTTCACAAGAATAGGAAATGAAATATATACATATATATTTCTCACCATAACGACTTCAAATAACTGATTTTAAATTAAACAATTCTACCAGGAACAGTTCGTAGTCTCCCTCTTGTGGTCACATAAGGAACTACAACTGTTTGTGCTTAGTAAGAATGAGGTAATCATTAAAGTATCTTAAGAATTAGTCTTACATTTATTTTTTATTTATTTATTTTTTTTTAGAAAATATACCTACAGCAAATATATCTACAAAAAATATGAAAATAACCCTATAGTATAATAAATGTAATTTATGGCAATTTTCTTTCAGTATTTTTCACTATAAAGGCTTCAACTAACTTATTTTAAAGAAAACTAAAATATCAAGAACGGTTCAGAGTCTCCCTCTGGTGGTCAAAGTGAGAAACTACGACTGTTTGTTATTAGTAAGAATGAGTCATAATTTATTGTCACCATGTTTGTTTCAAATATATTCATAGTAAATATAGCAAATATATCTGCATTAAATCTAAATGTAATAGAATAATATAATACATCTAATTTATGGACCTTTTTTCAGTATTTACATTTTTAAAACAGACGTCGTAAAATGTGAAGCCTATGGTTGTGACACTAAAGACCAATATAAAAAAGAATTGCCAACTTTTAAAAGTGATTTGATGAGCCACGTTTTAGTTAGCTAGTTAGTCTTCAGGGGTAGAATCTCAACTCCAATTGTATGAATAATAACATAACATACAAGAAAGTAACTGTTCCTGATAAACTACATTTAGTAAGAGAAGGACAGTAAAATGTTCACATTTTTTATATAAAACAATATAAAAAAAAACTCAGTTCTATGCGTGTTTAAATATATCTCAAGTATATAAACATATAAAGCCTTTATAATACAAAGGCTTCAATTTATTTATTTCATAGGAACAAATTCTACCAAAAACAGTTTCTTTCCGCCCTCTTGTGGTGACAATGTGCAACTACAACTTATTGCGAAGAATACTAGAATATTAGTTAATAAAGAGTCCCAAAAATGTTGATGGACCACATTAAAAAGTCAACATGTGATAGAAATGTAATACAGCGACAGAAAAATACCAAACATACTTTTGTAGTACAAAGGCTTCAAGTATTTATAATAAAGCAATACCACTCAGAACAGCTTATAGTCGCCCTCTTGTGGTGGAAGTGAGAAACACAGCTGTTTGTGACTACTACCATAAGGCCTATCCACCATTCTACATATTTGCGGTGTACATTTAAATATTTTATAGCAATAGGAAATAAATAATAAAATAAAGTGAAAAGATATTTCACTTTACGAAAATATACGTTTTACATGAAACAATTCTACCAAGAACAGTTCAGTCTCCCTCTTGTGGTCAAAAAAGGGAACTACAATTGCTTGTGACGAGTAAGAATGAGGAATCATTTGTCATCATTGAAATATCTAAAGAATTAGTTTCTTGATTTTTCCCCCCCAATAGTAAATATATCCACAATGAAGTAATATAATAAATTTAATTTATGGAAATTTCTTTCTAATATTTTTCACAATAAAGGCTTCAATAAACACATTTTGAATAAAACAATTTTCTACGATGAAAAGTTTGTAGTCTCCCTCTTGTGAGGAAGATGAGGAATGAGGAACTACGACTGTTTGTGTTTAGAATGAGGAATGATTTACTGTCCTCATTAAACAAAAATCCTAAAATCATTTCCACTCCAATTGAGGGAATGGTAATATATACAAGAAAATAAATGTACATAATGAATTAAATTTAATTAGAGAAATATAAGAAACACAATAACACAATTCCAGTGTAGTCCTGTTTCTCTGTGATTGGCTGGATGTGCTCTCTTCATCCTCTGACATGGGAGCTGGCTCAGAGCTCGTCTGCCTGGCTGTGTGTTTCCTGGATGGAGCCGCCTTTTACAGCTGCTTTTTATATCAGTGCTTCTGTCTCCTTGAATCCCAGTCGGCCTCGGCAGATGGCCGCTCACACTAAGCCTGGTTCTGCTGGAGGTGTCTTCCTGTTAAAAGGGAGTTTTTCCACTCCACTGTCGCTGCAAGCATGCTTACTGTGCAATCAACTGGTTTTCCTTAGATGGAAAAGTTTGAATCAATTTGACTGTATGATCTGGTAAACTGTAAAGTGCCTTGAGATGACGTGTTGTGAATTGGCGCTACATGAATAAACTGAATTGAATTGATAGAAATGTTTTCACATTTGCTGCTGTAGGGAAATAAAAAAATCAGTTGTATGCACTTTTAAATATTAGCAATCTATTTATCATCATACCTGCTCCCGGCGGTGTACATACCTGGACCAGTTTGCAGAGGACGAGCATCTTGTCCCCTTCAGAGTTACTGGCTGGCTATTTCTTTGTTCCTTTGATGTTTGTGTCACTTCTTTCTCTAAAAATATGAAAGCAACTGAAAAAAAAAACATGCCTAACATAACAAAAAAAAAATAACATTAACTGATGTTTTCATTCTAAGAAATTAAGAAGGTGTTCCTACTTGTCACAGGGTTGAATTAGTACTTTTTTGAACTACTTTAGTACAAACCACAGGGTTAAAAATCGCCCCTGGTCTGGACTTTGAACATCTTTGGTTTGGAAAAGAGGCGCTGGAGCAGGTCCAGGTAAACAGGACAGAGATTTTTATCAGATTTTATTACAGACAAGTAAAAACTAAACTTGAAGTTTTATTCCTATAAAACTGAATGGAAAGACCAGTATCCAGCCATGCTGAAAAAAAAAATATTTATTTCACAAATAAAGAGAAGGGCAATATCACAATTACAGTACATCACAGTTTATATGGCAGCTTTTAGGGGCAAATGGTTGCATTTATTAAATTAGAACAATTTAGGAGGATTGTGGCGTCTGTCTGTGATTCTTCCCAAAACACTTTAACCACAAATGAACTGGGAGGAGAGATTTCTAGCTGCAGCCCGTACGGCCTGCACCAGTGTAAGCCTTAAAAAATAAAAAAAACGTATCATGAATTTAATTGGTAGGAGTTTTGTCACATAATACTGGGCATAAGTTGAAAAGAAAATGTGAAATTTCAGGTAATCACAGTAAGGACATTTTTTAGGACTAGTTTCAAAGATATCAAACACTGATGGAAAAGGTGAAACTAAATCTGTTTGTTCGTTTTACCAAACATAGAAAATAATTAGTGGAGTGGGGTCTTCTGATTTCTCAGTAACAATACTCTTTACGCCCTCCTGAATACGGGCAGCGGGTGAAACATCAAAGGCCTCCGTTCTCCTCCAGTTTCTGGAAGAGCGCCTGGCTGCGCAGACGGGACTGTCTCTCCCCGTCCTTCCACAGAATCAGCAGGTGGTCCGTAGAGCACGTCACCAAGCCTTTCTCCTTAAAGCTCAGGAACATCTGAAAGTAGAAGTCCAGACATATAAAGATACAGAACATCTATTTCATCTGAACGTCTTTTCATTCATACCTGGATCGCTCCAGAGTGTCCGATCAGATCTCCAATCAGCTCCAATGTCTTCAGGTTGGGAATTTCCAGGACCTTCTTCGCCTGAGGTCCGGGTTGTTTGCTTGACCGTCCAAAAGACCACATCCCAAAGAACCCTGTAAAAACACAGCTTTTAAGAACATTTTGCTCATTTATTACAGCTTTAATAGGAATTATCATCTGCATTTGTACCGATTCCCTGATTTCCCCTGATGCTCCTACATCAGATCCAGTTAACAGGTTCATGTTGACAACAGCTTAAGAGGACAACCTGACTAACTCCTCACCTATTGTTAGAAATATTTTATTTATACTCCGCTTGTGTTTCATGGGTTGTGTACTAATGAACTATTATGATGTATAATGTGTGATTCATCATTTATTAACTCTTGCTAAAGATCGTTCCAGATAAAGGTCATGCAACGGGCGGGTTGTGAAAGAGGCCTGAACATCCTCTATCACATGTTTCTTCTAAACATGTGTTCTTGGAACAATTCAATTGTAAAAACAACCACATGCTTTGTTTTAACATATGTGCTGAGGTTTAAAGTAAGATCATTTTGTTTCCCTTTCCTTCAGTTAAGCTTCAGCTTGTGTAATTAGGGACATCCCCTGACTTCAATAAATAGCGAGGAGAAAGCTGAAGACCGGCAGAGTGGGTTGGAGATTTGTAAACTCTCTTCCTACTCTCCTCGCTAGTAAAACTAAATTAATTGTCTCTGTGCTTTCTTTCTTTCCCTGTATGTATGTATGTATGTATGATGATTAGATGCTTAGACCTGACACCTATGGAGCACGAAAGCTTTAAAAATACATTTTTAAAATAAAATAAATCACTCATTATAAAATAAATACAGAACACATAAATGTTGAAATTATGATGGAAGGGCCAGACTAAAAAGAACTTTGTTAATGATTGGTTGTAATATTATGAGAATAAAGCAGTAGAATTACAAGGATAAAGTCATTATAATGTGAATATAAAAAGATAACATTGTTAAGTTGTAATATTACAAGATTAAATGCGTAATTAGGTGAGAAAAAAATAATTATTTAATGGGAACTCTGGTGAGGTCATCCATCCCCTGCACTAAAATAAGGACTATTGAGAATCTTGTGAAGTTATACTAAAACACTTAAACCGGCAAAATATGTCTGATTTTAGTATTATGGCGCTAGCAGTTTGTACCAAATATCCAAAAAAAAAAGCTAACATCTACTTCAAACAGTAGCTGAAAATCCCTGAGAGGCTGGCCGACCTGAGGCAGCTGCTGCTGGGGATGTCCAGCCGCCGGTATGTGGGGTTCTGTGCAGCTGCGACAGCAAAATAATATTTTAAGGTAGGATCATAATCTTGATAAACTGACTGCACAATGTTTAAGGTGGATTTTCTCACTTAAAAATATATATTTTTTTTACCAACTTATCACAGCAAATATAGCAAAGCCGCTCTGCCATTCAATACAGAAGTAAAAGCCTCAGACGTATCTGTTCATGCTTTACTTGACCTCTGACCTTCATGTAGACAAGCATAGCATTGCATAATACTCGCATTTAGTTCATTCATATTTTAATTGTCACATTTATTGTTTTTATAGTACAAATTCAAGTAGATTTTTATTAATGATTCATTAATTTATTTAATTTTGAGCCCCATACTACACCCCCACCCCGTGAACCATGTGTTTGGCTGCAGTGTGGGTTCACCTGCAGATGCCGGTTCAGCAGCCAGAGGTAAATCTTGGATCTCCCACATCCTCACGCTGCCGTCTTCAGAGCACGACAGCAGCTCACTGGAACAAAGATGGCGTCACACACAGCTGGAGTTTTATTCTAGTCTTCAACTATTTTGAAAATTGTTGAAGCATTTTTTGGACAATCTATAGCATCCCTGCAAACTATGGTGCCATTTAGCTGTTCCAGCTGAATTTTAATTTTGGTGAATCAGAAGGACTATAAATAATATTAGGAAAGCACAGCTGAACATTCATTACATTAAGAGTGTGTCTAAAGAGTCGGAGACACCAGGTTAGTGAAGGTTTTTAACCAATTTGTTTTTTGCAGATTATCTTTTGTGACAAACAAAAGGCCTTTTACGGGGGGCTAGACTTTCAACATCCATAAAAAATAGATTTTGTTAACTGAAATAAAATGTTTTGATTATCCATTATTTAAAAAACAAAAATGTAAAAGATTTGAATCAGATTTTTGCAGCAATGCTTCTAATCTACAGAAACAGTTGGGACCAATGGCACCCTCATGTGGCTATAAAGTGTATTACATCTTGCTATAATAAATGTGTATAGAAATGTTTGCACAGATCATATCTTTCAATGCAACAACTCTATAGATGCTATAGACATATATAAATTAGCTTGAGCTTGTATAAGAGTTTTTATTACATATAATTTCCACATGAGGATAATGTTAACATTGGATAACGTTAATAAGATGATTATTACTGTTGTTTTTCATTATCATCATTATTATTAATATCACTAGCATTACCCCTGCATCATTATATTTAAATTATTATTTTATTTATTTAAATTATTATTTTATTTATTATTTTCTTTTCCTAATCTGTTTACAGATTTATTTTTATTATCATTCTCCTTTTACTTTACCCACAGATTTATTATATGACCTACAATATACATATAACTGTTTCTCATTTATTTATTTGAGGTCATTATAATTATGTTTTGTATGTTTTTTTTCTGCATCTTTATATGCCTACCATTTTATTATTAAATATATGGTAATCTATCTCATATGCCACTTTCTGCCCCCCTCTGTTTAGCTTTTTTCTCCTCCTTTAACATAAGGTAAAAAAAAAAAGATTAACTTCTTTAATTTAATTTATTTCATATTATGATTCTTGTTCTCCTTCAAAATAACCAGTGGAGCATAAGAAAATTTTTGGTTCTGATTCTAAGGATGCAGGATAGTCTTGGACCAGGAGACCTGCTGGTCTGAAAGGCTGATAGTTTAACTATTTTCCGTCTGTTACCACCTAACATGTTATCAACAGAGCAGGAAAAGAAGTTTTTTATCTCACCAGCCATGTTGGCTTCTGTTTTTCCAAAGTTAGCCACCCAGCATTTCCTTTGGTCACAATTTTGTTGTAAAGAAATTAAGACTAATAGGGCAACGTTAACGGAAAGTATGATGTAGAGTATTTACACATTTTTCTTATTAATTAATCATGACCTTTACAGTAGATGGAAATGCTTTCATTGGGGTCATGATAATGAAATAGATATTCATATCTTAGAATAAACTGTAACTCTGGCTGTAGCAACACCCACACAACTCGTTTTTTTTAAATTAAGATCTGCTAATAAATAGGAAGTTATTTTAACTCTGGATGGAAAAACCCCCAACTTTTATGATTTCGTTAAGTTTTGCTCTAGTTCCTGACACTTGTGCAATTTCTAAATCACCTGATCAGTTTACTAAAATATAAAAATATTTAAAAAAAATAGGGAGAAAAGCAATTCACATAGAAAGAAGGAAACAATTCCATCTTATTTTGCCAAATCGAAATGGAGGAATTATGGGAGAGAACTAGTTTAGGAAGGTCTATGTGCTTTTTTATCTGACTCTTCATCTAGAACTTTACTGTAAAATAACAACATATTTATTTGGTTAAAGCAAAGGCATCATTTTGGAAGAAATCAGAGTTTTACATTAGGCTACCCCTCAGAGGCTGGAAGAAAAAAGAAGATCTAAGATTAGACAGAAACATTTTTCCTTTTAGGCTAGTAGCACAGCTTGTTTACATACAGTTTATTAAGTGGCGAGTGCCATAAAATCCTATAATGTTCTATTTATTGTGTCCCTTTAAAACCTGTTTAAGATCAGCAGCGTCTGGCTCCAGCAGAACATCCTTCTTTAAATTAAATCATCCCATTGGATTAGAAAAATCATTAAATTTGTAGCAACTTTAAAGTTAATTACTTTAAATCCTGTTAAAGCAATAAACCCTTAAATGTATAGTGGAAGATTTTTAATTTTTTTTTAAAAGAGCCACCCTCGCCACTTAAAAATAAAAAATAATCTCATGCACAACCCTGTATGGGAACGCCTATTAAACACGTGCACAAGCCCATTTCTCCTCATGCATGCTCTGTTTAAAAGTTGCTTTTTGCATGACTCATACAAGCTTACTTTCAAAAGAAGATTTGCAATTTTTCCACTATGTGAGAATCACCACCAGTAAAGGAAAATGGAGACGAGCAGGTAGAACGTGCCTTATTTAAACATATAACCAGATTGATGGACAGTTTGGAAGAACAACTTATTTTGATGATCCACCCGGAAAAAGAACATCCTCCACTATACCTTTAATAGACCTTTTAATATTTGTAAATGAATTAGCCTGCAGGGCTGTGTTCTGGCTTATTTCCAGAGATGAAGCGCAGCGTGGCGCCGTACCTGTCAGACAGCAGCATGGTATGCAGCACATTGGAGTCATGTGCCGCCTTCCTGTATGCCACCACGGCTTTGGTCACAACATCATACACATAGAGCCCACTGCCCACAGCTGCCAGGATGAGCTACAAAATAAATAAATGAACAGTTTTTTCCAACTTCATGATAGCTCATTAGAAAACCATATATATATACATATATATATATATATATATATAAAATTGGACTCCTGCTCTCACCCTCCCATCGGTGGTCAGGTGCTGGATGGACATCTCGCTGGGTTTGGGGGCAGCCAGCTTTATTTCACTCTGGCAGCTGGACTGTGACTCCTCCCACAGGATGTGCTCATAGGCCAGGTTACTGAAATCAGACGAATCCCACAAGATCAACTCCCCCGCATGGGAACCGCTGGCAAAAATCTGATCTAAGGAAGAGGAAGAAGAAACCAAAAATGTTAAAACTCCCCAAAAAAAAAATAAAAAGCACTTTGGCAGCTTCAGAGTCTTGCAAAGCAAGCTGACCGTTGACGTTAATCAGAGCTCGAATCTGGTCATGGTGATCAGTACAACGGGAAATATCAGTCAGAGTCACAGAGGAGTCAGCTGAGACCATCAACCTGTAGATCACTGCAAAGAAGAAGGAGTCAATGCACGCATCGCTAGCAGATATTTTATTCATCTTTCTTTCACCTATGTCTTTATCCACAGCGGCTGCGATGCAGTTCTTCGGCAGCTCTATAAGAGCGGTGATTCCTGCAACGTGCAAAATAAACAGCCATCATTTTACGTCCAAACGAAACATCAAAGGTAACCTCTGCTGGTGCAACAATGCAGAACCCTTCCTCCAACAGCCTTTCTGTCATCGCTGTCTTTTCTCACCTGTGTCGCTGCGCTTTTGTCTGTGACACAGCAGCTGGAAGTTTTGGTCCCAGACGCACAGCTCTTCCCCGCCGGAGATCCACACGGACAGTCGCTCCAACACAAGCAAACACTGAGACAAACACAGATCAGAGGGATGAGAAAAACAATCAACCTGCACTTTATGCAATTAACCTTCATCTGCGATCAAAAAAAGGGCAATATGATGCAAAACAAACCTTTTTAACATTTCTAAAATTGTATTTTAACATAAAAAACTTTATCAAAATCATATTTTGGACATTCAGCTTGCTTTACTTGGCAGTAGGGGTGTGAATTGGCAATTATCTGGCTATACGATACCTATACATTAACAAAGATAATATTTTGCAATTTGTACTAATGAGCTGCAAAGCTACCAGGTCACATTTTTTATTGTTGGTTTTTCATTATCTGTAAGCTATAATCATCAAAATGACAAAAAAAATAGGCTTGGTATATTTCATTCTACAAGTAACGAAATTGTCATCATCAGAAATTAGATTATTTGCTATATAAACAAAATGTAATGAAAACATCTAGTCTTAGCATGTACATCTCTGCAGCAAAAGTTCTTTCAATGCATTTGATCTTATCACTGCTTTAGTGCTTCTGGCTGGATGCACTTTTTGTTCTGTTGTTTTGTACTTTTTACATGTAGGGCTGAAACAATTAATTCTGATTAATCGATTATTGAAACAATCGTCAATAATGTAGTAACTGATTAATCCTTAACTCGAGTATGGAGACTCTAAAACATGCCTTTAGCTGACAGAGCAACCTGCTTTAAGCAGTAATTATACCAAGTTTGTAAAAAAATGTATAAGTATTTTGCATTTAAGATTTAAAAAAAAAAAAATCAACTGTCAATATCCCCTATCGAGAAAATCTCAAGGGTAAAAGTTTGAGTTTAGTCTGGTTTAATTTAGTAAAAAGTCATCTTTAAGGAATCTTTGGATATCCGATTATTAACTGATTAATAGAAAAAAATTATTGACAGATTAATCAGTTTGCTAAATAATCCTTAGTTGCAGCCTGAGTCACATGCAATGAGAATAAAGTTTAATTTAAACTGCTAAAGCTGTTGCTACACTTTTAATCCATTAAGTTTGATTAGCGCTCTGCTTTTGGTTTTGTCTCATTTTTTCCTCTTATTTTCATCCTTTACATTGTGATTCTTTGATTTCCTAACAACATAAATCAATCAATCCAGTGAGATTAAAAAAGGTTGCACTGAATCTGTACCTTTACAGAAGACTGAAGATCTGAAACGATCTGAACTCTGTTTCCCGTATCCGGATCCCACAACTGACGTTAAAGTCAAGGAGAACGGAGCATGAGGCGTGTACAGACATGACACTGATTGTGCAGGACTTAAGGATACGCTGAGACTTCGGTCTGAGGAGGCGGTGATGAGCGACGTGAAGCCGGTAGTGCAGGTGAAGACGGCCATGGCTGTGATTTGCTGTGAGTGGCCTCTCAGCTCCTGCAGCCTCTCTCCAGTCTTTCAACAAAAAAAGCAAACATTTTCTGGCAACAGGATTGATTTGCAATTAATCTTTCTATGTATATTTATGTTAGAATCTCAAACCTTGATGAATCTTCTTGATGGGGATTCATAATATATCAGCATTAATATCAGTTTCAGGTAAATCCAATGAGTCGATATAAACAACAAATGTTTATTTCCATTTAGTTACGGTTTTTATTTCAGAAGGAATGAAATCTGTTATCTGGTATTTAATTGGTCATGTGACAGAGAATATGATGTAGCAAAGCATTGTGGGTGTTTAACTCCAGCAGACAAGCAGAGTAGGAGCCAATTATTTTAATGATTAAAAATGTTTTTTGTGCATAATCTAGCCAAGTTTATTTTACTTTATTGTTTAATATCTGTTATGAGATTATGTTTTTTGGTTATTTAGTCATGTTCCTTTATTTTTGGTTAGTTATGATTAATTTAGGTTAATTATTTTTTATAAATAGGCAGTCAATCTAAGGACGAGCGTGCATCTGGGTGGGCGTACGGTTTTTTTTATCAGCGCAAGAGAAACATGGAGGAAATGTTTGTCTTCTTTTGTTTGCTTGCCTGAGGAAAAAATAAAGGAGTTTACCTGGAACATTTTTTTCTTTTTGCCTGCGTAAAATAAATCCATGGTGCATCTGTGGACTTTCCCCCTTTTTGTGTCATCAAAGCTGGGCATCAACAAGCAGGGCCAATCCAAGCTGGCCCCTAAACACTAACCCTACACATTAACCCTCCGTTTGCACGTTTCCACGCAGGGTCCTCCATATTAATGGCTGTCCCAAACCACATAGCGAGGAGGGCGAGTGAACCGTTCAGCACTTAAATAGCAAGTCTGGATCATGTTGCTAGGAAAATCTATTTACTACCACATTCCTTCTTCTGCTGATTATGATTCACTTACTTTTAAAAGTATTCACTCTAATGGAGCACCTGGTAGGCAAGGCTGAATGTGTTATCTTTCTGACGCCTCCAGTTTAGTTGTTTGACTCCTTAGACTTAAAGTTATTTCTGTAGCGGCCACTTGGAATAAACAGCCAGACGCAGGGAGTTCCAAACGGGTGCAGTTTAATCTTTAGACACCGTGAAAACTCATTCTGCTTTCCAAGGGCGCTATTTTAACGATTTTCTTTAGCTTTCTTCAGGATCTAACGCTGACTCATCACGCTTAGCAAGAACAGGAAGTGCAGAACCACAAAACACACGAAGAAGTCTAGCGTTATTCAAAATAAAAGCACAAATTAACCACAAGGTGTCACTGTTTAACTAATGAACAAGAAGGAGAATTTTAACATTTAGTAGCCATTTACACTCCCACCAAATCCTGTCACAATGAAAGAACAAAGTAACATATAAAGGGTAAATCAATTGAACAGGATTTCCTGACTCTACTAAATGAATATGCTTGCATAAACTATCAGGAAGTAAATGAACTGTACAAAAGTTGTTCTTCTGTTCTCATCAATTTTCCAAAAGAAGAACCAATTTCTGGATTGGCCTCTCAATAACTGAGGGTTTGGAAGAGGAATTTGACTTTCACTCTCCAACTTGAACTTTGACTCGACGGACCAAGCCATCACTGCCTTGAACAGTTTCAACCACTCGTCCTAGTTGCCACTGATTCCTTGGAAGGTTATCATCTTTGATAATGACAATGTCCTCCTTTTTCAGGTTGCGCTGAGCTGAGTGCCATTTCTGTCTCATGGAAATGTTCAATAAATATTCTCTTTTCCAGCGACTCCAGAATTGTTCAATGAGATACTGGACTCTCCTCCACCTCTTTGTGGCATATAGGTTCTCTTTGACAAACACTCCAGGGGGGGGAAGAGCAATCTTAGATTTCATCATAATGAGATGGTTCGGTGTTATGGGCTCCAAAGCTTGAGGATCGTTGATTCCATCCACTGTTAATGGGCGGCTGTTGACAATAGCCATGGCCTCATACAGCAATGTCCTGAGGGAGGCGTCATCAAGTCGGCCTGAGCACTGTGCAAAGGTAGCATTCAAAACGTTTCTGATGGTTCTGATCTGTCTTTCCCAGATACCACCTGCATGACTGGCAGAGGGGGAATTGAAAACAAATTCACACTGTTTATCAGTCAAGAAAACTTCTAGTACCTTGGTGTCACATTGTTTCAGTGCTTGTGTGAACTCATTCTTGGCACCAACAAAATTAGAGCCTTGATCACAGTGCAGTTGTCGTACAGCTCCTCTAATGCTGATAAAGCATCTCAGTGCATTTATGAATGAGTCAGTCGACAGATCTTCAAGCATTTCGATATGGACAGCTCTAGAGTAGAGACATGTGAAAATTAGGCCATATCTTTTGTACTCTTAGCGGGCTTTCTTCACAATGAAAGGGCCAAAACAGTCCATGCCACTATATGTGAAAGGTGCAGAGGATTCGACACGTTCTTTAGGAAGGTCAGCCATTCTCTGCTTTTCTGTTGGCCTCCTAAGTTTTCTGCAAAACACACAGTCGCGTATCAGCTTGGCCACCAACTTACTCCCCCCAATGACCCAGAATCCATTGGTTCTAAGCTCCATTTGTGTCTGGCCTCGACCCTGATGGCATGTCTTAGCATGGTAGTGGGACACAATAAGCTTAGTAATGTGACTGTTGCTGGGTAGTATCACTGGGTGCTTGACTTTAAGACAGAGAGATGACTGCTTTAATCTCCCACCCACACGGAGAAGCCCTTCAGACCAGATAGGATCAAAACTGAAAAGAGCGCTGGTGTTTGGAATGTTCTTTTCACCTTCAAGCATCTTTATCTCATTTGGGAAGGCTTGTTGTTGTACAATCTTAATCACTGTTTCAGCAGCCTTTTCACGCTCTTCAACAGTCACATGTTCACTATGTCGTTGCTTTGAACCCAGTCTCTTGATTCTTGCAACCACCTTTAGAAGTGTTGTCCAAGAGGAAAACCGATTCAGGCGTTTGAGGATGTCATTACTGTCTTTGACTTCAGTTACAAGCACCTGAATTGTCTTTACTTCAGGATCACCGACAAGTAATTCTGTTGAATTGCTGGGTGTTAGGTGTAACTCATGCTCCCAAAGAAACCTCGGTCCTTGCAGCCAGTTTGTCGAATGAATATCTGAAGCACAAAGACCTCTGGATGCATAATCCGCAGGGTTTTCTGAGGTTTCAACATAATCCCACTGATTAGGATCACTGTTATTTCTAATCAGTTGAACACGGTTGGCAACAAATATGAGGAACCTGCGAGCATCTTTATTGATGTACCCTAGTACAACTCGTGAGTCAGACCAGAAAAATTCTTGATCAATCTTCAGGTCAAGTTCACATTTGAGCATAACACTGACCTTTGTAGAAACCACTGCTGCTGCTAGTTCTAATCTTGGGATACTTGTGACCTTTGAGGGAGCAACTCTTGCCTTTGCTATCACAAGACTGCAATGGACTTCATCTTTGTCATTTATGTACCTCAGGTAAGAACATGCACCATATCCTACACAACTGGCATCAGAAAAATGGTGCAGCTCTACTCTGACAATGTTGTGGAAGTCAGGGAGGTGGTAACATCTTGGAATCGAGATCTCTTTCAATTTCAGTAGATCATTTATCCATTTCTCCCACCGTGGCTTTATATCTTCTGGGAGAGGATCGTCCCATCCTATGCCTCTGTGACAAAGCTCTTGAAGGATAAGTTTTCCACTAAGGCTGAATGGAGCAATGAATCCAAGAGGGTCATAAAGCGAAGCAACGATGGACAAGCAGCTTCGGCGGGTTGAAGGTTGATCCTTTAAGCTGATGTTAAAAACAAAGGTGTCGTTCTTTATCAACCACTGAATGCCGAGTGCACGCTCTAATGAGGCTGGATCCAAACCACGGGGCTCGATGGCTGCTGCTACTTCCGAAGGATCCAAGCAGGCGAGAGCAGCTTCCTTGTTTGAGTTGAATTTATGAAGCCGTAAGCCTCCTTTTTTACACAACTCTTGTGACTCAATGATCAGTTTCTTGGCTTCCTCAACTGATGGCACACTAACTAAGCCATCATCCACATAAAAGTTTTTCTCAATAAATGTGGCTGCTTGAGGATAGTTAGTCTTGTGTTGCTGTGCCAGATGTTTTAACCCAAAATTAGCACATCCTGGAGATGACGCAGCTCCAAAGAGATGAACTGCCATTCTGTACTCCTGTGGTTCTTTCTCCAAATCTCCACCTTTCCACCAGAGGAATTTAGGATAATTTCTGGATTCAGGAGTGACAGAAAATTGGTAAAACATTCTTTCTATGTCACAAATTATTGCTATGGTCTCTTTCCTGAAGCGACATAGCACTCCTAACAAAGGATTGATTAAATCAGGCCCAGTAAGCAGTGTGTCATTAAGAGAAACACCATGGAATTTGGCTGAACAGTCAAAAACAACTCTCAGCTTATCTGGTTTTCTGGGATGGTAGATGCCATGATGTGGAAGGTACCACTCTGTTTCTCCCTCAGATATTGTAGGGGCAGGCTCTGCATCACCCTTATTTATGGTTTCTTCCATGAATGTTTTGTATTGTTCATAGTAGTGTTTGTTGGCCTTTAATTTTTTCTTAAGACACTGCAGGCGAACTTGGGCTAGTCTTTTATTGTTCGGTAGATTAGGCGGATTGCTGCCTTTGAATGGGAGAGGCATTTCATAATGCCCGTCATCCTTCTGTGTGATGTTGTTACTGAGAAACTGTATAAAATTAACATCATCTTGGGACACATATTTATCTTCGTAGCTTCTCTCCATGAAATCCGATTCTAAGGTCTTTAAAATGTCAGTCTGCGATGGGATTGGTAGCTCCTTTACTGAGAGTCGATGCACAAAGCTTTGACTTCCTTGTCTGTCTAGGTGGGGATTTGATGAGCCTATTATACTCCATCCTAGTTCTGATCTTTGTGCAAAGGGTTGGTTTTGGTCACCTGTTATAACTTCAAGTGGAGCTAAAGCAGCTGGACAGTCGTATCCAATGAGAA